TACTTCTTAATGAGTACTTATTTGTAATTTTCATTCCTTATTAATCCTTTCACTCGTACTGTCTCCTTACATCTCCGTTTTAATTCCTATACTTCGGTTTTTTAGGTCTATGTGATTGTTATTCTACGCCTCCTTTTGGCACACAAATTTTATTTTTTTTGCAGAATTTTTATCAAAGATAGATGAGTACTTTGCCATTGGCTTCATAAATACGGGTTATTGAATTCTTTTTCCTTAAAAATCACGCAGTTTTGATTCATCTTGTTTAATGCCCTTTGATCTTTTTGTTATGGTATAGCCTGATATAATAATAATATAATATAATATAATATAATAATAATTGGTCCTTTTCGTTTTTGCTCCTATTGGGTTGCGCACATTGTTGTTGTAAATCCTGGATCCAACTTTAAATATGAATGACTTGTATGTTTTTTGAACTTTTTGCCATGAACCAAAGCGTATTAACGAAGTTCGTTTATTTCACTTGAATGCCAGCTGGCTTTAATACAGTCTACTTTATCTATCACAAACAGGCGAGGCTGCTGGTTTGGGTATGGGTCTAGTGATGCTGGGCACAGGATCTACTACAGCAGTGAATGATCTCCTCAGCTACACGTTGGATACCTCTCATGAGAAAATCATGCGTGGTATTGCTCTGGGCATCGCACTCATCATGTACGGTAAACGCGAGGAGTCCGACGCTCTGATCGGAAATCTTATTCAGGAAACTGATCCCATTCTCCGGTGGTGTGGGATGGCCACCATCGCCATGGCCTATTGTGGAACCAATAATAACTCGGCGATCGAGAAACTCCTCCATGCCGCTGTCAGCGACACAAATGACGATGTTCGTAGATGGGCTCTCACCGCTCTTGGTTTTGTTATGTTCAAGCAAGTCCACTATTCCCTTATTTCTTTCCTTCTACTTGTATCAATGCTGTCCTGATTACCTTCCTTGCACACATTCAGAGATGCAGACAAAGTTCCGTCCCTAGTATCGCTCCTTGCTGAATCCTATCATCCACATCTTCGCTATGGTGCCGCCATGGCTCTCGGTATCGCTTGTGCCGGAACTGCTAATAAGGAGGCAATATCTTTGCTGGAACAACTTCTTGATGGCACTGTTCATTTCGTTCGTCAAGGGGCACTAATCGCTATGGCGATGGTTCTCATGCAGCAGAATGCTATTTCCTGCCCCAAGTCTTCAGAGTTTCGAGAACGCTGCCTGAAGATAATCTCCGACCGACACGAGGACCTACTGGCCAAATTCGGTGCAATTTTGGCCTGTGGAATTCTCGACGCTGGTGGTTGTAATATGACAATCTCGCTGCAGACTCGCACAGGGAATACCAACATGGTTGCTGCTGTGGGTCTGCTTGTTTTCCAGAATTTTTGGTTTTGGTATCCCTTGACCAACTTCATTAGTTTGGCCTTTTCGCCTACTGCGATCATCGCGTTGAATAAGGACCTCCAAATGCCACAGATGCAATTCAAGTCGAATGCTAAACCATCAATGTTTGCCTACCCACCACCTCTGCGTAAGCGTTGATTGCTATAAATTTTATGCCACTTTGATGCGTAAGTCGTACTAGTTGTGAGTTTAACTGTTCACACCACCCTTTTAGCGGTTGAAAAAGAAAAGAAGAAAGAAAAGGTAGAGACGGCTATTCTCAGCATTACCGCAAAGCATAAGAAGAAAGAGATGGAGAAGAAGAAACCACCTGCTACTGATACTCAGGGTGTCGAGAAGATGGATGTGTAAATTTGCACACATTATTCTGTCTTTCTATGGCATGTCAAAATGCTAGTAAATCTTTTTCTTTTAGTGATAATCAGACTACCACCGTGACTGGTGCTGCTACAAAAAAGGAGAAGGATGAGAAGGTAAAACATTTTACTTGAGTGGTTGAGTGTGCCTGATGT